ATTTCATTCGTGAGTAAACCAATTAACTACTACTTGAAAATCAAACTAAAAAAGAAAAGAAAAATTTTTACTGCATACAGTAATTTGACCTACTTTATTAGTTGGATACAAACTATACAAGTAAAATTTAAAAAAGCTAATTTGGTACAATTTAAAATTATTATATTAATCTGGAAGCGTTTTTAACCTTTTGTAAAGCTATTAATACAATCGGAAAACCGGTCAATATTATTCCTTGGTATATCGTATTTTTATTTACTTTATATGGTACGCAATTATACACAGTATAATATATTAATATTTAATTAACCCTTACACTCATACACCTTTGTAATCTACGTTTTTATACAAATTTTGATGGACCCCATTGTCAAAGAATACCACTGAAACCAAGGGAAATAGCACATTTATAATTTTTTAAGAGCAAACCCCTTGACAAGCGGTGATCGCCCACAAAAGACACCACACGAACTCTCCAAAGTGCATGCTGCCCCTGAGGCCCTAGCTTCTCAAGGATAAAAGAAGATGACATGCAAGAGCTTCAAGTTCAACAACTAAAGCTGGTAGTAAAAAGCTGTAGCTTATTTTTAATCAAGTAGTCACTATATATCTTTTCTAAATTTCTAAGAGGATTTTTAAAAATAACTTAATAAATAGCAAACGTATTCGCTCTTTCTGGACTATTATTACTCTTTCATTTTTATAAGTAATTAATATAAATAAATAAATTACATCACTTAAATTACAGTTACTACCCCTGCTTTGAGTTGTTGCTTTCATTCACTTTTTACGTAAAAGTTTAACTGAGTTTTACAAATATAATAAGTTATTAATACTTTTCCTTTGCTTGCACCTTTTTGCTATTAGTACTCGCCGTTCATGTCCAGTGTCTTTACGAGCTCCAAGACTTCACTACTGTTCCCACCCAGTTAGTTATTGCTTTGATAGATTTTTACTTTATATTCGGTTTTTGTGTACTACAGCTTAATTAATTATATAAGGATTTTATTGATAACAATATTAGTAATAATAACAATAATTAATTGATTAATATACAGAGATTTAGTTATTTTCTGAATTCCCAGTACGACTGGCATTATAATGACCCGAGCGGAGCTCATGTTCATTGGTGATAGTCTAGCAAAAAATGTATTATTGAGTACAGCTTGATACAGTACTACCTTAAGGTTATTTGTGAAGGTTTGCGTGGGTTAAAAGGGGGCTTAGTATGGCCAAATGGATTTGTAACGCATATTCCTAGTAAAAAGCAGTGTCACGCGTCTGTTGCAACTGTAAAGAGTTATATTTGTAGAGAACTGACGAGGATCCTAATCTTCCTTGTCTTACTTGAAACAAAGTGCTACTAATGACAGTGCTGTTAAGCTGAGTAAATTAAATTACATCAGACTAGAACAGATAAAACTAATAATTAGTTTATACAAATTTAAAGCTTGAATACAGAATTAAAGAAGGCTTGAAGAAAAAAAAAACTACAAATAACAAAGTATTGACATTAATAGGAAGCAGGGGAGTGACCCAGTAAGTAATAAAACCAGGGTTAAAAGTTCTTGCCGGCATTGTAATATATTCTAGCCAACATCACTACTCTATACCAGTACTATTACAATACAACTCTATTCTAGTCATTCTAACAGCACTATTATCATTAGCGAGGGATCACATGTTACTTTAGTTTAGTTATTTAGCCAAACCAATTGTTTTACCTCATTAACGGCTTCGGATCAAAGCATGATGTTATTTCCGTCACTCGTTATGAACTACTTGCTGCCAAGAACCTTCAAATGCCCTTAGTGGTTAAAGGAACAGTACTGAACACAAACTTAGCTATTTACCACTATGATCACTTTGTTAATTGTGCAAATCTTAGTTTGAATAGCTCTTTTTGATCGCGCTTAAAAAGGAACGACTGCCACAGGCAACGCGGGTATACATCGCGCAAGTTAATTCTTCAGCAAGTTATTTAGCCAAGCATTTTCTAATCATCAAAAGCCTTACATCAAGGTATAACTTCATATCGCCCGTATAAGGCACAGAGAGTAAGCCTTCCTCTAAGAACACAGGGAATTTAGCACCTGCCTTCAGGCTTTTGTTCGAACTAAGTTTTTGCCAATAAGTTTTAGCCGATTTTAAAAGTAGTACATTCGTACCGCATGTACACCACTTACACCTTTCCTCAGTACATGCTTACACTCAGCGCAAGGGCCCCAAAAGAAGGTACTAAAATCACGATCACATGGTTGTTTAACCTTTCCGTTGTCAACTTTAGTTCATTAGCCGAGAATCCATTGAGAGAGTGACATGACTAGAGTAAAATGAGCCTACGTTGAGCAGGCAGTCCTCCAACGGAATGGAAACTTTTTGTCCAACATCGATATTTCCACCTACTGGCAGACGCGAGGACTAACTTAGTTCCAAGCGCGTGTACGAAGGGCACGATCTTTCTCGTGCGCTTTACGAGATTAATGGCATCAAAAAGCAACCGTTACTTTAGTCAAAAATGTACACTCTTGGACGAAGCCACAAGATAAAGCTAACAGTCAGAGTCAAACCAATTGTTTGACAAAGTCCTCCATTAAGAAGCCTATTTTCACAGTTGCCAGTGGATTTAACTACAAAGGGCTTACTTGCCGTGATCAAAGCACTAGAATATGGTTGCCTAAGCACATCCCTCACAAAAGATAGGACAAAGATAGAAAAATACAAGTAGCATACAGGACATGCGCAAGCAACGAGGCTAGAGAACTAGTTTCTAATCTCCTATACGTCATTTTAAACGTCTTAAAATATGCAAAAATGTCCCTTTTTAGTGCAAAATAGTATCAATAGCCAGTAATGTAAACCATATGGGAGGATTAACCAGTATAACAGATAAACACCTAATAAGAAAATTAAAAAGACTTTGTCTACACTGTCTCATTAATAAAAAGAAGTAAGCACTATTTGTTAAGTCACAACTCAACAGCCTGGCACTGAGCTAAGACCTCTCACTAAGGCACAAGTAAGATAGAGCGCGTAGCACTAATAAAACAGAACTAGTTAACTAGTTTATCATTACACATAGCCTATACTACCAGTACTCTTTACATAATATACTAATGATATTAGCCTTTGTAGAGCTTCAGAAGAGACAAGAGCCATTATAAGCTATCTACAACTTTAGTCCGCAAATGGTTCCATAGGTAGAGCGCTTTATTTTAGTTAGCCTTCAACTACCCACAGTACAAGTCCAGACCTTGCCTAACAAGCAAGAAAATTAGATCTAATGACAGGCATTACTTTATAATAAATCGAAGGTATCAACTAATCACCCCAAGGTTAACCTCGTGATAGCTTTATTCATTGAATGAACAATTTTCTACCGGTGTCTTTACATGATACAGCACTATTACTAATCCAGTTAAACTAGCCATGAGACTTAAACAAGAAAGCGCGACCTAAACAGCTTAAAAAAATTTCACCTTTCTAAGGCCTATGTTCCACTTGAGTTTTCCATTTTCAGAGCTAGTTTGCCCCTTCACCAAACTGTTAAACTATGCTTGGTCTAAGATAACGCTGCTGTTTCTTAGAAGCTAGGAGTCCTTTTTAAAACCTGTTGTGTTCAGGATCATTTCTAACCTCAAGTGCTCAGCTATCGGAGTTAATTGAAGTCGCTTGGATGAGCCTAGTTTTATCAAGTTACTGGGTCAGTTAAGCAATATTTTCCTAGAGGGACCTGCTCGGATCCTAATAAAAATTAAAGTCTAACTGCCTGACCGTCCAATGGCCCAATGTCAAATTTAATTGGTTTTTTTCTCCATGTTAACCACTGCTTCAGTAGGCACGAGCGTATGATTATGCCTTTGGTCTTAGAGAACCCTATTTTTGTTGACTTAAGATGCTGACCCTAATTACATACTTGTCTACCTTTGGCTTGAGTAAAAATTCTAAGTAAGCTCGAACATACAGAAGTAAAGAAAACTTGAAGAAAAAACAATAAAAAAATCATATTGACAATAATAGGCTAAAGAGTGAGTCAGTAAGTGATAAAACCAGTATAAAAGTTCTTAAACCCTGGAACCTTAAAAATTAAACAAAAGTAAGTTTAAAAAATTATAACAAACTTTATTTTCTTTTTTGCAATGGATCTTGGACTTAAATTTCTGCATAAATACGGAAATCGAATTGTATACTAGAAATCAATAATGCAAATGTACAATTGTTCCATAGGAAATTATATTACTGGGAGTATTTATAAGTGCCTTAAGTAATATTGCCTATTTTTTATATAGTTAAATTATTAACAAAACAGAACTATGAAAGCCTTAGATCTTAAGCTTTATTTATTAACTATTAATATTTTGATTAAAATTATATTTATTAATTTTTTTTTCTAAAAGGCAAAAAGCTTACTAAACTTAGACTTCTCTGAAAAAGTAATGACAAATGTTCATTCGTATGTTTTATCAACATCAATTTTTTTGTAACTCATAAAAAAAGAAAAGTAAGGTAATATTGCAGGTAAAAAGTAACATTTATTATACTAAAAACAGTGATCCCGCCCCATTTCTTTTTAACTTTTGAACAAGAATTAGTGATAATGAAGTCTCTATGGTGTGTTCAAAAGATGCTAAATTTGTAATAGAGTTAACTATTGGTTTACAGATCACAGATCCCTGATTGAACATTCCCCATATGGCCAACTTCCCTACGAAAAGGTTCATATCATAAGGAGTATTTTGTCAATAGTTTGTATACTATTGTATATATGTGCTCGTTGGTTTACTTAAAAAAAGAATAATATCAATTGAAAAAAATTGTTGGACATAAATTGGACATGGCGATTGGCCACTTAAATTTATTAAAGTTACTAAATTAAATTGAAATACATTAAAATTTAAAATTATACATACTAAATTAGGAAACTTTATTAACGATACTCACGTTTTGTATGTTTTTTACTTTAAAGGTAGAGCTTATAAAAGTAGACCTTTTTCTGTGCAGTTAGTAATCTCTAGTTTCATGAGACCTATAGTTTTATAATATGGCAGCTGCTGTCGAGCTCTATAAACCTGTAAAAATATTAATCTGAAAACTATAACCTATTTATCATAGAGCGTCACTTAATTTTAAAATTAAGTATTAAATATTGATTTACATCGTTTAGGGTGTACAAGTTTGGGTCGAAGACGATGAGGAAGCTTGGCTACAAGGCACTATTATTAATGTTGAGCCTGGTCCTGTCAGATTTTTTATTACTAATATGTCGTTCTTTACTTTATTTTGTGAACTTATAATAAATCTTAACAATTAAGCTCTTTTCAATTGTTACATTAAAGTATTACTTGCTATAGTAATCTTAATGAATTCTTTTTAAAGTAAATGTGATAGTAAGTTTAATTTTTTAGTGACTTATTAGTGCTACACTTTTGATATCTATATGGCTTAATTTTTATATTTTGTTTATCACTCAGTGTTTAAAAAGAATTGTTAACTATTATTTTTATGTTACAATTGTTAAAAAAATAATTTAATATAAACAAAATTGTAGAGAAGAGGTAATATATATTCGTCTAAAAGAAACAATTACATATAATTCTTCAGATTCTTATAAAGTTTTGACACCAAAAAAAGGAGAACAAACATTCGCTTCCCCCCCGCCTCTCTGCAATGAACCGGATCAGTGGGTACTTACCGAAATATATTTATTATTTTTGTTTGTTACTATTTGAATGTGAATTCTAACTATATGGAAAACAAATATTTAGAAGGACAATTAGTTTATAAAATTATTAAAAAACTTTTATTAAACAAAAATTAGGTTTTTAATGTTGATTCTACTTAGTTTAATTTTATAGAATTAAAAAGCTGAGAGTTTTAAGTTTTTCAGGTTCTGCAATTTTACTTAATTTGGTTTTATCAGAAGTCTGTTTATTATAATACTAATAATAAGAGTTAAGCAGTAGTGCTATAAAAAATATGCAGGTTAACTTAACTTCTACAAATAGTTTACTCACGATTTATTAAGTTTGTAATGACATCTTTTTATAGGAGTATTAACAACTTATAAAACTGATAATATTTTTTTTAAAGTTTATAAAAATAGAAACTTAGAAACCACAAAATCCTTACATAAATTTTATACGAATTATTATCTATTGATATATATACTTATAAAAGTTTATATTATTATAATCATCTGTAATAAAGACTAAATTAGAAGATTTTAAAAATACTTGTCTAATGTTATTTAAATTAAGCAACTCAATGATATGACGAATCTTAACTTTTTGCATGAGCCTGCACTTCTGCAGACCTTGCAAGTACGTTTCCAACAGGATTTGATCTACACTTATTCCGGTATAGAAAAAGTTTATTGTATTATATAATTTCTCTATAAGACCATATTATGCTTTAAACTGTTTAAAAATTAAATTATTAAAATTAAGTTTAATAAAGTTTCTGTATTATACAAGTTTTTCTAAGAAGAGTAAATATAATCACTTCCATAATTTTACAATTTACTTGAATACAAAATTTTTTCAAGAAGAGTTTTTGTTCATGAAAGAAAGTTGACTATTATATAGAAAAAGAAAAACTAATATTATAAAATTAAAGTTAGACCTTGCTTTATTATTTCCATCATAAAAATTATTTACCAATTATTGTAATTTATATTTATTATTTTTAATATTATAGAAGTTTCCCTTTTCTTTTTAAATGTTTTCATGTATAATAATATTGTTTGCGTTACTAAAGTACACTTGTAAACGAATTATGGCAAACTTTTTCAAGTATATATCAAATTTTTATTGTATCTGTATTTTATCGCCTAAATCTTTTATATGTAAGTATACTATTTAAACTTTTAGTTATATATAATAAACATAAAAGTTTTTCCTTTTCATTTTCATATAATATTATCATTATAATAATTCTGCTACGAGTTAAACTGGATTTTACGAATTTAAAAGCTGGCTTGTTATAGGTTACTTTATAAAACAATAGTTTCTGATCAGTTTAAATTTTCATGTTCCATTGGAAGTTGGGCGCTGCTTTTTTATTTTCTGCTCAACAATTACTAAAACGGTGTAAATTTCATTATAATATAAGAATTTTTATATTATTAAATAATTTATGTTCATTTGACGGCTAAATAGTTTATTATTTGTTAAGCTGCAACTTTTTCTATGCACATTAAACATGTTAAGTGTCAAATATAAAAATAACTTTACGATAAACCAATGAAATAACGACTTTTTAGGAAGCACTATTATTATTGATGAACAACAGAACAATACTAAAGTTTATTACAATTTATAATTTATAACTATTTGGATCATTTTATTTACTTGTCAATTTTTTAAGGAATTGTACTGGTTTCTGTTAACCCCTTCAAAAGTCTTCCTTATTTGTACGATGCTAGCACTCTTGAACTTTACCGAGGCCAACAGTTGGGGCAACTCGACCCCCACCTATTCGCTGTGGCTGAGGAGTCCTACCAATGCCTCTGCAGGACCCTCCAAGTCCTTTTAATAATAACTATTATCATTTTATACAAATTTTAAAATGTATGTAAAGAGTCAATCAATTATCATAAGCGGCGAATCAGGTGCAGGAAAGACAGTTTCGGCTAAGGTGGTTGCTCAATATATTATTTGAAAATACAGTGATACAAAAAGTTTTATTTTTGCTTATCATTAATATTTTTATGAATAGTAAAGGTTTTTAAGAAGATATATATTATTTTTCAAGGCTTTTTTTACTATATCTACTTACTAAAATAACGAGAAAAAACTTTGTTAGCGTTTCCATGCTTTGCATAACTTCTAAAACATTTTTTAAACTTTTTTTTCCAGTATATTCCATAAACTATTATTCTTTTATTGTTCCCATTAGTTTTATATATTATTTATTTAATAGTTTGTTATGCGCTACTTGGCCATCAGCTGCGGAACGGACGTGAAACAAAGTAGTGGAAATGTAGAAGATCAAATATTAGCGTCCAATCCGATTTTAGAAGCTTTTGGTTTGTACTAATGGTTTATCTGTTTAAAAATGTAGTCCAAGTACGAATAATACTAAACATATTTCAAGTATGATTGGTTTAGTTTGCAGCAGTTTTTGAAATTGTAAATTTTTGTGGCCAACAGAAGACCATTCTTAACTCATTTTGTTAAACATATTTATTTGCAGCTTATTGCAGTATATATTTTTACTAACGTCTATAGACTTTTTTTGGGAAGTTGCAGCGTATAGAACTTATATGGGCTAGAAGTGTTTAATAGTGAATTTTTATATATAAGCCTCCCTTGTTTGTTGGGATAAATTTTGTTTTATACAATGAAAATGTCGACATGTTATAGAGTGACAAGAGTCAATACAAAAGATTTATTATTTATACTTCTTATTTATTATAAAGGGAACTCCAAAACGACTAGAAACGATAACAGTTCTCGTTTCGGTAAGTTTATGCAACTTCAGTTATCAGAAAAGAAAGTGATTTCAGGTTCTCTATTATTTTATTAAGTTGTTTATTAGGTTCTTTCCTTTTTTCAAAAGGTTCTTAAACTTTATAAACTGTATACACTTGTTTTATTATTGTTGGGAGACTTCCTTTTTTCCTACAGGAGCGGTCATAAGGACTTATTTGTTGGAAAAGTCAAGAATAGTAACGCACGCCTCTCAAGAAAGAAATTATCATATATTTTATCAGCTGTTAGAAGGTGCTGGATGAGTATTATTGTTAATATTATTTACACACTTATTATAATGCGAGGACTGGACTCTAACAAAAAAGAGGCGTGGAAACTCACCAATTGCGGAGACTACCGCTACACCAATCAGGGTATTACTTTTTTTCCCAGTAAAATAATGACTTTATATACTAATAAAGGTGTGGCCCATGTGCCCGACGTGGATGATAATAAGGACTTTTTATCGGTTGCTTGATTACTATGATGTTATAACTGCTATCATTTTAATATTAATAAGCTAATTATACAAAACTGCAATTATTAAAGAAATTGGATCAATACAAATTTATTAATTGTTGTGCTTGGTCAATACTCTCTTCCAATTGCGTGTTTTCTTAACCATATTCATTATTATTTCATTTATTTTATTTTTAATCCCTTTTTCTTATTACTATTTTATAATGAAGAATACTTCTAAAGTAGACACATTAATATAGTAATGGCAAGTTTCATTAATAACTTTCTTTTTATATAATTAGGTTTGTAGTGCCATGAGAACGCTTGGAATGAAGGACGACACAAGTTGGACTATAATTATATTCACTGTTTCTTTGTCTCTAAGTATTTTATTTTTCTCTAAAAACTTTGAAAAAAGTTGAGTCGATATGGAAAATAATAAGCGGTATCTTGCATATGGGAAATATTATAGGGGCGGATCGCGGGATAAGCAACCAGGATTCCGGTTCGTAAAAAAATATTAGACTTTTGTTGATTTGGTTACCAGTTTTTTATAAATATTAATAATGTGCTAAATCTTCATGTTTTTAGTTTTACAAATGTATAGTCCTAGTAAGATTACCTCTTGCTTAGTAATCAGTATTTTTATAATATATTCAATGCTCTTCACTATTTTATTTCCTCTTTTAATTCTCCACATATAATATAAATATTTCCCCCTAATAATGTGCAAAATAAAACTTTCTCTCAAATATTATATTATATATTTTTTGCAATATCTATAAATAAATTAAAAGCAGTTATCTAATTAGACTTTCCTTCTATTGCTGTATTAATACTTTAAGCCTACTATTTCTTTGCTGTTAGTATGGGGATCAACAATTTAAGTATAACTAAAAATAGCGATTATATTTGTGTCACTCTATATATGTATTATAATAGTACTTGTTACTATCCTTTTAGTTTACTTATAATTTAATAACAATAAATATTTTTTTCTTTACTGTTTTGGTTGGCTTTTTCCAGCGCTTCTTGCGAGCTCAAAGTTATTAGATATTGATGACAAGTTGCTTCTGACGTGGATCAATAAAAGAAAAATAGTGGCCGGAAAGGACGTAATGCTGAAGCCGGTGCTCTTTTTTTGTGCATTCATTATTAGTTCTTTCTTGTTTCTTTATTATGTGTTATCATTCATTGTTACTTCAAAAAAAACTGCAAAAAAATATTAACTTTTTTTAAAAAAAATTGATTTACTTTTAATGCTCCTATGAACTCTAAATAGTTTTATTTTTTCGTTACATATATATGTACTTCTTAACTCAGCATAGTTTGTTTTGTCGTTTAACTTCCACGTGACTTCCAATGTTGTAATTACAAACAAAATACTGACTACATAAGCCTCCACTATCGCCATAGATGTTATATTAAAATATATAGTTGGTCCTCGCAAGCACGCGGTTTAGCGGGTATAAAAGTTCATTTGATTTTGTTCTCCTACAGGATTTTGTTGTACTATAAAAAAGTACAGAATTCTAGTGTATGACGTATTTTTCTATATATAGAACACCAAAAACGAGCAATACGACGCTATTGATGCTTTGGCAAAAGCCGTTTATTCCAGAAACTTTGATTATCTTGTTGAAATCGTATGAATATTTATATTAACTTACTATGATTCGCTTTATTTTTTGGAGATGACAGTAAGTTAAAATATACGTTAAAAGCTGCATTGTCATTTTTTTAAAGGAGAATATTACATAAATTTACTACGAAAAATTCAAATAACTCTATTAGTAGTAATTAATGATAATATAATGACCCCTTTAGTATGTGATTACTCCCTTTTTTATTATAATTAGTAACAGCCAATTAGAATTCTCCGCTTCTTTTTCTAATCTCTTGTTGGATAACAATTAGATCAACTCTGCTACGGCTAAAGAGGAGCATTTATTTATTGGAATTCTTGACATTTACGGGTTCGAAAGTTTCGATAAAAATTCGTTTGAGCAATTCTGTATTAATTATGCCAATGAAAATCTACAGCAGCAAGTCTTTCTTTTATTCTATACTAATATAATTATTACTTTTTACATATTGTTACTTTTTACTTCTAGTAGTAAACAGAATTTAATATTATTTATATGTATAAATTTGTTTATACTGCCTTTTAACTTCTATAAACTTTTTTATATTCTTTTATAGACTTTTATTATATTATTATATAATAATAATATTTTTAGAAGTTTAACCACACTTTTTTTGTCTCACTTTATGCAGTTCAATTCTCATGTTTTTAAGAAGGAACAGGAAGACTACGTCAAAGAGGGCATCAATTGGTCATTTATCGGGTAGTGATATCATTTGTTGGACTTCCATATAATTTATGAATTGTCTTATAGTTATCGTAATGTACATTATAAAATGAGTATATAATGAGTATATAACCTGTGTTGCAGTTTTCTTACTAAGTTCATTAAAATATAACAACCACTTTCTTATGCTTAAAATAGTATTCAACAAACTATAAAAATAGTAATTAAGTATATGGAAGGGCAAAAATTTATATAACAAAATTAAACTACATAATAATATTTTTAATGAAAACGTGTCGGGTTTTTCTGGCCAATCACATTTTTATGCGGCTAACCGGCTTTGAATAAAAGTTATGGGCACTTTCTGACTCTTGGCTGGCGCCGACTTGCCTTTGAAAAGGTGGAGTGCGTTCGTAAACACAGCGTTGTTTCCGCTATACAAAGTGTATGGAAATTTTTGTTATTATTAGAAATATATAAAAATAACCTAGTTACTATTAGCAAAAATGTAAGTATATATTTTTTAAAAGCCTAAATTTTAGAAAAATTGAATTAGTAAAAAGGCTTCTTTACTATTTAAATTGAACAGTGGAACGAAATAAAAGGCTTTATGTAAGTTACTATTTAAACTAGTAACTTGTACTTTATATTATCACGGTAAAGAAAACAAGTACTCACTTAGGCTCGTGACGAAGAGAGCAGTATTTGCTTTAGAGAGCAAATCATTTTACCTTATTCTTTGCTTAGGTCTTCTGCTGCTCCTTATTACTCGTGCTAGCCCAGCAGCGTCATTCCTTTGTGACATTTTCTTGTTTAAATTATTATTAAGTTATTAATATTTTTTAAAGCTCACTATTCGCTTGCATGATATTGGGTGCACTTAGGAGAAGAAATTATTAATTAACATATTAAACATTTATAAATACTATTGGGTCCACAGTTTTCTTATAAGCTTTTTACATGAACAGCTTTACAGATAACAAACCATGCTTGGAGTTAATAGAGTCCAGAGCGGGTATAATTGCTTTGCTGGACGAAGAGTGCATTATGACAAAAGTTTGTTTTTTCTTTCACTGTAATATACCAAACTACGTATTATAATGACATAAATTTATATAGTAATCTTTTTTTTTCGCTTGGTACTTTAGAGTATACTTTTACATACATATATATAGGGTTCCGACGAGAACTTTTGTGATAAATTATATAACAACTTTAAAGAGCATGAATTTTTTTCAAAACCCAAACTTTCTGGTCTTTACTTTTTTATTAAAAAAACTTCATAAGTGTCACCTTTTTTGTTTATAATATATTGCTTAAAGTTTTCCTTTTTAAAATTTTAATATATTATAAATTTTAGGTAAACGGGCCTTATTTACTATTTCACACTTCGCTCAGAAAGTAACTTACGACGCTGCTGGCTTTCTCGAGAAAAATAAAGACAAAATTGCTGATGAATTATTGGACGTCGTCCGCCAGTCAAAGTATACTATTACTTTCATAGTCCTAATCCTTCCAGTTTACACGTGGCGCCGGGCTACCTCACGTGTTTAATTAAATAAAATTTACTGAAGATTTATAAGTATATTAATAATATTTTTAGTTATTAGAGTTTCCTTTGTATGTTTATATCATTAATTATATTTTTAGGTATATCAGTACTTATGCCTATTTAGTTTCTTACGATATCTAGTTGACTATTCTCTACATCTTTTAACTCATTTTTCAAATATATAGACTGCGTCAGTTTTTTTACGATGTTTATTATACAACTTAATATTTACTTTATATAAAAAATCTTAAGTTGAGTTTATAAACACTTTATTTTATGGAGTATACTTCGAGTAGTACTACTTTAAAATAAATAATAAGCAGTAAGAACTTCTTTCTAATGTTAAAAAATTTACAAACGAAACAGTAAAATTATATTATTTTTATTTTTAGAATGCCGTATCTTCAGGGACTTTTTCCTTCCGTGCAGAAACCGCCAGAAGAAGAGGCCAAGCGCGCGCCCAAAAAACCGCTGACAGTCGGTTCAAAATTCAAAGTATATACTTTGCTTATTATCGATATTATTAGTTTCACTCGTTCTTAAAAATTATATATTATTTTTCAGAGTACAACCTATTTATAATTCCAAAAATTTTGTGGCTCATATTAATATTTTTAGTCGTTTTTTTACTTGTTTATATTATTATTATCGTTTGTATTAATCATTATATTATTAATATTTATTATATATATATTTTCATTTTTAAACTAATCATCTTTATTTGTTATTATTTATTTATATTAATAAATAGTATTTTTAATATAGATATGGCAGTTTGCCTACTATTATTATTTTTATTCATTATAATTGTACTGTAAATTATTTTTCTCTCTTTCTTGTGTTAATAACATTGATTTTAGGCCTCCTTGCGGTTGCTAATGGACACCATATATACCACCAACACTCACTACGTTCGCTGTTTAAAACCAAATATGGCAAAACTACCGGGTTTCTATTTTTAATTACTTCTTAACTGAGAGGATTATTACTGTATAACTTTATACTTTTTTCGGGGTTTTTATTTACTGTTTAATAAATTTTTATTTCATTATATTCCTTGCATTTTTTAGGCCTTTTTTCACGAAGTCACATGCTAGAACAGCTGCGGGCTTGCGGAGTTCTTTCTACAATAAAAATAAGTCAAGCCGGTTTTCCTGGGAAAGTCGAATATAACAAGTTTTTTGAACGGTACTGTTTAGAATAATCATAATTAGGTAGTATCTCATCATATTGACCACTAATCGGTTAAATATTAACTATGAAAATTATATTACGTAAAAATGTTGGCGTTAATAGAGGCTACCATCATTATTATTATTACTTCTTCTTAGCGTCCATCGGATGGAAGATTTACTCCGTTAATAACTATTTTGTTATATGATTTTCTTTTACGTTAATTGGCTGCTTTATAGTATGGGGTTGGAGTTAGGCTCGATCTAATTAGAGAAGAAAATTGTTCAAGTTAAATACTATATAAGGAGGGCAAATTAAAAATTTTCTATCGAGATAGTAACCAATAATATTATAAAAAATGTGTACTACTCAACAATAAAGCGAGGAACTTATAATTTTCAAAAAAAGATTTCGTCCACTAACGTGGACTTCTGGAGACGATGTGGTCCAGCGGAGCAAAGAAATCGTAAAAGAATATGTGAAGGAAGGAAACTATCAGTTTGGAAAAACAAAAGTCTTCTTTAGAGCAGGTGAACTGGGTTTGCTCGAGGCAAAAAGGTCTTTTCTCATTCGACTATTGTGATTTCTGCTCTTAATATAGTTATGTTAAACTATCGCAATTAAACTTTAGAAATGACGTACTGAATAGCGCTATTATAAACATGCAAGCTTTTATTAGAGGTTTTCTTTATGATTAAGATCGTTATTATAATTACTGTTATTATTAATATAATTAGGCAGTGTTCAGAAAACATATTATCATGTTGCAGTTCATTCTGTTGTCCTTATTGAAACTATGTCTCGTTTGTTTATGGCGAGAAAAACTCTGAGAAGTTTACGGGAGTCTTATTCAGCTTTACTTATTGAAGTAACTTTCATTAATATGTTTTTGGTGTTCTATATGAAAATGTCATCAAAACAGACGACGTTTAGAAGCTTTCTTTATTGCAAATTCTTCAAACAATCCGTAACTGCTATTTTTATTCAAGTATTCATTATTATGCGCTTTCTTTGTTTTACTTGAAAATTAAATGTTAACTCCCAGAAACTTTTTCGCGCCTTCGAAATTTATAAGCAATATAAAAGTTTACAAGTGGCTCATTACTCGGCAGTTCTTATCCAATCATGTTACAAATATTTTTCCACACAAAAAACGTATCGAAGGACACTTGACATCATTGTCTACTCTCAAGTTAGTTATCATTATTTGTATTACTACTACTATTATTATTGTAACTGCATTTTTTTTATTTTTACTATTATATTGAGATACGCTGTTCCTCGGTTATGTGCATTTATTTTGTTATATATGTATTTATTTCATGTTGATATTGCTTTAATTGTTTGTATTGAAAGTTAATTAAGTTCGTTGTATACATAATAAACAACAGTACTTTTGAACTGTACATTCGCTATATTTACTAATTGAATATGTAATTAATAGCTTCTAAGTATTACTAATCTGTAATATCTTTATTCTTTATGAGCTGTTTTCATTATTTCGGAGAATTTGTATAATATTTACAATTTTACTTTCATAAGTCGTGTGTTCGGAGGAAAGCGACTGCTAAACAATACCGAATTTTACTTGCCGAGTCACGTGATCTCCGGAACCAACATAAAGAAATCACCGAAAAGGCCTCCAAACTGGAGCTAAAAGTCCGTTATTTTATTTCTTCACTTTAAAGTTTGAGTTTGAAAACAGTTTGACATATAATCACTAATTAACTTTTATTAACATAAATAATTTGTCAGGTTGTGGAGCTTTTGCAAGAGAATGAAATGATCAAAAAACTTTATAATGAAAAAGAACGGGAGCTACTTGTTAAAATATCCGCGTTGGATATGAATCTGAATGTGGAGCGCAAGAAAAATAGTGAACTGCTAGAAAAAATTGACCAATTAACGAGGGACAGTAACTCATACGCCCAAAGAGTGACTAAGCTTCAAAATGGTTTCTTTATATTTTGATTTATAAATAGTTCTATAAGTCACTTGTTATAGAATTGGTGAGTGTACAGAACGCAATGAAAAGCTCTCAACAACTTGAAACACGTGCTAGTGAAAAGCATTTGTGCGTTATTATAAAATTTGTTATAAGTTATTGGTCTTATTTTGTCCGCAGTCTGATTGGTGTATTTTCTACCCTACCATCGGTGGTGTTTATTATTTTGTTCCTCCTAACAAAATAAATAGTGGTTAATCTAATATTATTTCAGCTATCTGTTTGGTATTTTTAAGCTATTTATATATTTATATACATATAATGTCTGAATATCTATTTTGTGGTTTGTTGAATTCTTATTTCCTCTTATTGGTACTTTAAAAAACGTTTAACCCGGTGGTTCGTTAGAGTATATTTTTTAAACTTTAGAATATCAACTTTTTTATGTCTTCTGTTTATATGTTAAAACGCGCTGCTTCTTATAGAGGAGTTTTGTTAGTAAAATATTGATTAAACATCGTATGCAACTTGATTGACTTAAAAGAATGATGAATTTTATGTGCATTCCTCCTTCTTAGGAATTTAATTGGCACGTGATCTTTTTTTTCTAACTCTTTTGCGTGTGAGATTTGCAAAAAAACTAATGAGTTGGTTCACCTCTAGCAGTAGAATTACTTAGCATTTAAAGGATTAAATAAACTTTTACTTTTATTCTTCAGTAATAATAATAACAATAATGCAGAGCTACAGAACTTTATGCCGAGAAGAAACTCCTGGACGAATACGGTTACTTTAAAAAAATATATATTATTATTTCTTTAACAGTTATGTTCTGTTACCTTTTTATATGTAGAAGTAAGCTCTATGACTCTAGTTTCTTTCATTATTCATGTATTTAACACAATTTGGTGTGACTGAAAGTAACGAATAGCTAACGATGTTTATAAAATGTTATGATTTTTGTTGAAAACACACTATACTATAAACACGTGATTATTTAGCAATAGTTTCTTAAAAGCGAATATTAAGGGCTGTTCCACTAACAAACCACCTGTTGCTCACAATAAAACTTGTAAACACGTTTGCCATTTTCCATACATAAAAAAGGCGCCATTTTTCCTTTTCACTAGTCGGTTTTGATCTATAAAAGTTCTTAGCAAATACCAACATAGTTGAGCTACACTAAAATAATGCAGCACTTTACTTATGTCGGCTCAGTTGCTATGCATAAATATATATATATTTGCTTAAACTATTCTTCCATAGGTTACTTATTTTTAATAAATACATTTAGTGGATGTCGAGACGCACGAGACTCTTCAGAGATTAACGCTTCTGCAAGTATTATATATATAAGTTATTATTATATACTTTTATTTCTTGCTAGTTGTAAATTATGAATATTAACTATAATTTCCCAGTCATTAAACATCGAACTCGAGAAGGAGAATGAACTTTTAAGAAAAGAAGTTTCTGAGCTGAAGCGCTCTCCTTCGCGAACACCCAGTAATGAACTTCTACAAAAAGACCAGCAAATACAACTACTTACTAGTAAAAACGCGCAACTCCTTAACGAACTCAATGAACTGAGTGAAAAATTTCTTGCGTTTTCACAGAGTAACACATTAAAAAGTTCCAGCCAAACGAGTATTTCTAGTAAAAGATCCCATAGAAGATTTTCTGATGCGAATAGTATATCCTGCTTGGCTTCAAGTATAGATGGTCACTTTTCTTTTTTCTTAGTTTTATAATTCTTATCTAGAAGTAGAAAGTAATTAAGTTTATAATGAGATATATATATATATTTAAAATAAAGTCTTAAAGAACATCACACAAACATGATAAGTACTAACATGATTATAAGCTAGAATTAGAATTATGTAAAAGTTAACAAAATTTATGGAATGAAATATTATTTACTTGTAAATATTAATAGAAGCATATAAATAATCAATAAAAATTGTAAAATGTATAAATTTATTTTTCTTTTTTTGTTATAGATATATTATTATCAATGTCCTGAATAAAAACTTTACTTCGTTATTATCCCTTTATTTTATTATTTACTTTAAAATTTCTGATTTATTTTTTTAACAAGTAAACCCTACTTATAATGTTTATTACTTTGTTCTTATTTTTATTTAATGTTCTCTTATTATCAATAACCGAACTTCAGTACTTTAAATTATTTTTTATACACTTTTGCTTTGTACTATTTTTGTACAAACTTAATAAGTTTTTACTTTACATTATTTTTTTAGTAAAAAAATAATTTTTTAAAGATTTAGTAGATCTGAAAGATTCTCAAGAATGTTTCGAACTTCAAGAAACGTTGAGGTATAACCTTTTTTCCTTTTATAATTTGCAGTTGAATTTATGCTTGAATATTTTTAATGGAGATAATTTTATTTTTTCCCTGTGAATCTTCGAGTTTATATTTTTTTCAACGATACTCATGATAGTTTGTTTTTTACAACATGAAAAGTTATCATATCATAAAAATTGCTTATCAATTCTCTGTGGTGTTCATATTTTAATTAATAATTATATTTATAAGAAAAGTAGCTTTTTCAAGCTTATTTATATTATGCACGCTTTATTATTTTACCAAAAGAACCATTGACAACTTTGTTTTTAATAGTTTCTTATACTTTTTTTAACGATAATAAAAAATCACAAAAATATTGTGTTTACAGTAAGTTTCTTTATTGTTTCCAAGTCATTAGAAAAATTATTATATAACTAAAAATTTACAACTTTTATATTTTACCTACAACATTATAACATATTTATTAATATTTATTTATCAATCTTACCAAAGAAAAAGTAGTATTCATAATCACTTCGGGTTGTGTAATAAGTAATATTTACTAACAAAATATTATTAGAGGCTTATATTTATTTCTTTTTTACAGGTATATTTGTATGTAGTATAAATAAAATTATTGTAGCTTTACCTTACTTTTTTACTTATTTATTATATTTATTAATATAATTATAATTATAACAAAATTAAACTTTTGTACAAGGCCCATTTATAAATCGCAAGTTGTTTATTATATATTTTGCCGAACACTTATTTTTTTCTCAGTATTAATTTATTCATCTCTCATTGCTTGAATACATTATGACTTTCTTATGTCAGTAAAAATAGTGATGTGCCGAATGGAATACAAATGTTTCAGTATAACAGCTACGAACTTCCTGTATTTTTTTATATCTATCATGTGCTTACTTTTATATTCTTATTTTTCTATTATTTAACCAATAGGAGTTGTTTCACAGCCTATCTAGCTGCAATAGCGATAATTGTTCCGGAAAGCCGGCCGTGGCTTTTGTTATTTCCCGCTGCTTGCGTTATACCGTTTATTTTAACCTAACAGAAGATCGAAATATTATTTGCCAAAGTTTCATTAATATGGTTAAAAAATAGCATAAATATTTAATTATTACACTCAGGCAATACTATGAATAGCAAATAATAGATATGAGTTAATGCTGATATTAATAAACCAATCACTTGTATTTAAATATATAAAAAACAATTAGATATTACAATACAAAAATGAATAATGAACCAATCAAAATTATTTACTTCAATAAAAGAAATGTTTCATTTAAAAATTCCAAATACAATGCCCGTAAATTAATAAATAAATAAAAAAGGAGTAGCAGAACAACTAATACATGTATCAACCAAT